CCCCCCAGAGACCTAGCTGTGTGGACGGGGCTACAGGCACACCACCTCCTCCCCCCGCTGGGAACCAGAAACCCACCGGCGGTCTGTTAACTGTGGCTGCTGAGATGACAGCCGCAGATCATCCAAGATGGCAAGACGCTAGAATGACCCGACCCACAGCAGCAGGGGAAGGCCAGCTGCCGAAAACTCACCCCTCGCCCTTGAGAAGCTGCCAAGAAACCGCTCCCCCGGAACAGGAGGTGCGTGTGTAAAACACCCGAGCTGCGCTGCACCCATCTGGATGCTGCTCAGCAGACCCCTCCAGGGGACAGAAGAACCTGCTTCCAACTCAACTGTGCCCGACTTCACCATGGGACCTGGGCCACAAACATAACCTCCCTGGGTGTCAGCAGCCTCCACTGTGAACAAGGCAGGCTGGGCTCACCAACAGCCAAACACCAGCAGCCCCCTGACATCAGGGGGCTTCCATTCCAATTCAGATTTCTCTTAGGTCGTTTTCACCATCATATTTTTTTTTTTTTATCCTCACCCAAGGACATTTTTCCATTTTTTGTTCAGATAGAGAGGGAGGGAGAGAGAGGAAGAGAGAGAGAGAGAAACATCGATGTGAAAGGGACACATCAACTGGCTGCCACCCGCACGACCAACCAGGGCCGGGGACAAACTGCAACCGAGGTACGTGCCCTTAGCGGGAACTGAACCCAGGTCTCTCTGTACCGCAGGCCGACGCTCCAACCGCTGAGCCAAACCGGCCAGGGCCCATCATAATTTTTTATTCCACAAAAATAATTCGGTAATAACAACATCAGCAGACATTTCAGCCAGGTTCCAGGCAGAAGCGTCTTGCGTTCACCTCTGAAACAGCTCCGGGTTGAGGAAGACACTATCCCCATTTTAAAGAGAAGAAACTGAGGCTGGAGGGGCTTAGGCAACTCGCCCAGCGCCACCGGCTACGACACGAGGCAATGGAATAGGTCCAGGCTGACCAGCAGATAAGGTTCTGGCCTCTAAAACTCAAGGACCAAAATGGCAAGTGGGGAATCTTGTGATACACAAGGACGACGCAGGCAGATGGCGAGTGGCGCCCAGACTCACTCTTGCTGCAAGATGCCAGGCAGTCTCTTTGTTTGTCCCACAAGAAACAGAGCCTGAGCAGAACTCTGCCAGGCAACCAACACGGCTGCCCAAAGGGACGGAAGGCTTAGTGACATGATTGATCCCAATCATCTCCGCTTCTCCAACGGCTTCAAATTAAGTCATCTTTTGAGAGTAGCATGACCATTTTAATTTTTAAAAAGATGGAGGGGGAAACTCTTACATATTTCACAAAATGAAATAATCATCAGGAGAAATAGAAAGATACAGAACAGACCCATCTCCTTCTGATCAAAATGTACTCCACTAATTAACGACCACTGGTCTCCAAAGAGTCGCCCTCGACTGGTTAATAAAGCCCCATTCCACTTCACTTGAGATGTGAACATTTACATCGCAAAGGGGGAATAAATGAACTGCAGGATTCAAAGCCCTTCCCTTGGTCGCTCGTTAGAATTCCGGTCAAAACAGATTTTTATTTATATGATACATTAAAGAATATTATGACAGTACTGATACGAAATCTGTTCTTCACTGCCAGGGATTTTCTTTCATATTAAGTTACAGTTTCTTTCCACTGGTCTTGTTTTAACACCTCCACGGAATATTTCTCTGGCGAGTGTTAGCGAGGAGGGGCGGCCAGAAAGCACTGAAATGAATTTTAACCGAAACACACGCTGACATATCATTTACAAGCTCCTCACCCGGTCGACGAGGAGGGGCACAGTTCACCTTGCCCCTGGGACCTTAACACGCACACACAGAAGTGTTATTGAAGGGAGATAAACAAGAAATAAATAAGGCTTGACTTAAAGTTCTCTATTCCTGCCAGCCAGGTTTTGGCCTCCAACACGAATATAAGCCTGCAATCCCTGTGGCTGGGCTCAAATTCTATCAGAAAATAACCGTGGACAAGGAAGGCACTTTCTCTTCACCCTGCCCCAGTCCCAACCACCACACCCCTCGCCAATTCCCCAGCTGCCTCCCTGGGGTTGAGCAACTCCAGAGCCATCTGAGCAGATGCCCTGAGGGGTCAGATGGAGAGCTGCTACCAGACAGTGCCACACAATGGGATGATCTCATCGGGCTGGGCTGGTCACCCAACCGTGGAACCTCGAAGTCCTGAGATGCTTTGCTCCCCACAGCCTATGACCACTCTGTGTCACCATCTCGTCCACAACAGACAGGTGATACACCGCTACTCACCCCGCCCCCAGGTTAGAACACTGAAGGGGCCCAGCTCCCAGCTTGGGAGCCAGGTTGCCTTACACCACTTTTCAACCCACGTGCACCTTGGTTTCTTCATCTATAAAATGGAGATTAATACCGCTACCCACCTCACAGGGCAGAGGTGAAGACTATTATCCCTACACAGTGCCTGGAACTTCCATTCAATTCCTATGATTATTACTAGCCCTCTCACAGAATTGGTGTGAGGGGCTAATTAAAAATAACAGTAAAATCCGCAAGGAAGTTCAGCCGGTGTGGCTCAGTGGATGAGCATCGACCCACACACCAAGAGGTCACCAGTTCAATTCCCGGTCAAGACACATGCCCAAGTTGTGGGCCCAATCCCTGGTGGGGGGCATGCAGCGGTCAATCAGTGTTCTCTCTCTTCGGTGTTTCTATCTCTCTCTCCCTCCCTCTCTCTCTCCCTCTCCCTTCTTCTCTCTCTCCTTCTCCCTTCCTCTCTCTCTAAAAATTAATAAGGGGAAAAAAAAAACAAACAACCCAGCAGGTAACACAGGTATGACACAGCTCCAAGCCTTTTTTTAAGTATTTTACCTCTGCTCGTTTATTTAATGCACACAAAAACTCGAAGTGATGGGGAAACTGAGGTTCAGGGAGTTCAGTTGTTTCCCAAATCGCACAGCTAATGCGTGGCACAACCAGGATGTAACTCAGGCTGTCAAGCTTGAAAACATCCGTAACAATGAGAATGATTAAACCAACAACGGTGGTGGTAGCAGTTGTGAGTTACAAGGCCCTCACCCAGTGCCAGGCTGTTTCATTCTTCACAACGACCTTCTGAGGGAGCTACTGTCATCGCTTCCATTTTACAGATGGGCAAACTGAGACTGAGAGAAGAGAATGTGCTTGCTCAATGTTGCAGGTGGACAGAAAGTCCTTTGTAAAGTGTGTCATAAAAAACAAGGTATTGTTATGAAATCCCTAGAATCCCATGGAAAGATGTCCTCCCCCAGCTGGTTCAATGTTCATTCACACCTACAAGTGTGGCAATTCACCTAAAACATCCCAGACTCCAGGGTGGGGGTGGGGAGGATATGAGCATGTACACACTGACAGGTTTAAGAAATATTCTGTCTCGTTTTCAAGTTGAACGCATCACTGAAAAATCAAATGCCACAGTGTATTACAATGAAATACTGCCTTCTTGATTTAAAAAGGGGGGGCGGGGAGTAGGCGGCAAGTGGAAGGAGAAAACAGGTCAACCCCGTGGTTTGACCAAGTCAGGGATTTTTCCAGTGTCCCCTTAGAGTAATCTGATCCTAGTTCTGGGTGACCAAATGACTAACCTGGAAATCTGAAGATTCATACTTATGAAAGAAACAGCAATTCTTCCAAACCCAGGATATCCTGCTTACTCTGGAAGCCTTCGGAAATGTCAAGGATCACACGGAGCTTGGAAAGCAACCTTTAAACAGTTAAGACAGCCCCCAAGTTTGTGCTCAGCTCAGAAATAATCTAACCTCTCTGGCTCACTAATTCCTATTATTTGTTTAACATGAGGGGGGCAAAATACCTTCACTCTATTTACTTAAGGGATTTGTTAGAAAGAAAGGAAGAAAAGAACCCAAGAAAAAAAAAGGGAGAATTGCGTGGAAGAAAGGAGGGGTGGGAATTCATGGCAGAAGCAGACCTGAAATTCTCACAATGTCATCCGCAATTCCAACTTTTTCCTCGTGAATGTGCAGAACCATCCCCCTTTACACGGTGACAAGGTCCCACTTGCGGGAGACAGAGCTTAAAGAAATCAACGAGATCTGCTAAAACCATCACCCACCGTCCCCTGTATGACCTACGGTCAGATCTTCCCCTTTTCTCCTTTCCTTAAAAGAATGCCGAGGCCGCAAGGTGCAGATAAAATCTTTCTCCCAGGGTTACACAGGAAAGAAAAAAGTATAATGAAAAAGTGCAAATTGAACACGTAAGCCATAAGCCCTTCAAATTTCACCTCAGGCTGGGGCAGCTGGGCCCCATCGCCACACCTGGCTCGCTCGGTGCAAACCACATCAGCGACACGCGTCTGAAAGAGCGAAGGCCCGTCTCAGGCCGTGCGGTACCTCGCGGCCAGGGGAAGACATTTCCAGAACTTCTCCGCCAGGCACCAGTACCTGCACCAAGCGGTGGCACTGGGGTTTCAAGTGCGCCCCCATGTATCCATCCAACCTGAAACCGAGACACCCACTGCCTCCTCTGTCCAGCTGAGGGCTTTACGGGTCTACAAAGTTCTTTTCAAGGAAGGGTAAGCTGTCTGCTTCAACTCTACTCCTCTCCAGAAACTCCAAGTTCTAAGGCCTCAAAAGAGTCCCCTCCAAAATGAGTCACAAGGAAATGTCCAACTTTTCCTGATAGGATCTCGGCAATGCTTGAAAAACAAATAGAATAGTTGTATAAATATTGCACCACACGGAGCTTCGTCCTCCCAAGGATCAGGCTTGTCCCTGCCCTCGCTGCGGACACAGAACCCACCTCTGGGTGGCTGCCGGACAGACGCTGGGTTATCTCGGCGCCTGGCCGGCCTCTCACGGACACATGCTGTCACCCGGAGGAACCGTGTGCGCCAGGTTTCAACGCTGCAGGGCCAGGGCTCTGTGGGAAACCTGCAATCCTTGGCAACCACCTTCCGGTGCTACAGTCCTATTACCGGTTCTCCCACTTACCTTGGGTTGCGCTCGACGAGGAAATGCAACTTTGGGGTCAATCTAGGAAAAAAATGGAAAAGTGGGAGTCAATTGCAATACTTGGAGGAGAGAGAAAAATGTATGATTAATCACCTAATTATTAATCACTCATTTCTCAGGCTTATAACCCAGCTTTTAGTAACTTCTCGGGCAACCCAAAAAGTTTTTTAAACTTGGATTCAGACATTACTGGTTTCTCCCCCAAAATGTAATAAACAGAGCTAGCCTTTCTGAAACGTCCTACCATGTATTTCAATATGTGATGCTGTTAATGAACCAGACGTCATGTGTGCTTGTGTAGGCCAGGGCCTCTCTTCCGCAGACCCTGAGCGGTAAATGGTACCTGCATCGATCTAATCTGAATGCGTGGCTGGGGGAAAAGATGGGAACATCATCACTGAAAAAAAATCATAACCTGAAAATTCAATGTAAGACTCTCCCAGCAGTAGGAACTGGATGGTATTTCTTCTCCCCGGTGAGAACTAAACAACACAGGAGGGGAAGGGGATTCCAAAAATTTTTTAAATCAACAATGTCCCAAAACACCCCACAGACATCCAATGCAATGCTCTGCTTGAATTAATTCACGCATTTTTGCAAAAGTTACCTAAGATTAATCACAAAGATAGTTGATTCTATAGTTATATCTCAAAAAAAAAAACACAAAAAAAAAACAGTGTCTGACTTGGAGCTTGACTTGGTTCTTAAAAATAATAACAATAATAATAAATTGAAATAAAAGAAAACATATGAACTAAATGCACCTGAATTTTAAAAATCACAGGGAGGTAAAAAATAAATCTATGAGCAACCTAAACCCAAATTAAAAAAGAAAGGCCATCAAAGGGAGAAGGTATTAAAAAAAAAATTACCGAAAAAAGAAGTCAGAATGTAGTTAACAACCAGGGTATTCCCCCTCCTCTAACCCCAGTTCCAGCGGGAACACGTCCTCTACCCTACATTAGGCCACTTACAGAACACGGGTCCCAATCAGGGACTGGCTTTAAAATTCAAAACAATTCCCACGGAAGCATTTGAATCTAACAGGCTGGGGAAAAGTTGTTGAATAGAACATATGGGGAGGAAAGGAATAAAAAATATTCCCATTGTTGGTTTTCATTAGATTTCTAAATGTCAGGAGTCTTGGGTGAATTCAGTAGGGAGACTGGCAGGAATATTGCTACAAGTCAGTTATTTATAGGCTTCGGCTCTCATATTAAGATTTTCCCCTTTTAAAATGTAAATCTGAACCTTGATTTCAGTTCTGCCATGGGGTTAAAAAAAAAGAGTAATGCTCTGGGGAGAAGCACAGAGAGAGAAAGGCGCATGAACGATAATTCTCGTTCGCGAACTTCACAACCCCTTAGGACCCCAGCGGGTAAGACCTCCAAAGATCTACCACTTTTATTAAGGTAGTTTAAAGGCCTAACAAAAGTCTGCAGCGTGTTTGTTTTCTACCTTTAAACATCACCTGAGAAATGAGAGATTACTTTTCAAACACTAAAAGAGACAGAAATCTCTGATCTAGGAAACTATCCTTTCATCAAGATTAACATTACCGCATCTACAGGTGTACTCAGCGCTGACTAGAGCTGTCTACGAGAGAAATACAACAGGTGTGGATTTCCATTCTGTTGACCCAACGTTAAGACGTTCTGTTGTTTTGTTTTGTTTTGTTTAGCGGACAGGCACACAATTACAATAATAAGTCATCTTGTTTGTAGGGTAAAAGGTGAGGGACGTGTGAGGGAAGAGGCCAGGAGCTGGAGGTAGTAGGGAACAGTGAAGAGTGGAGCACTGAAAAATAGAGAGATCTAAAATTACAAAACTCAGAGCCAATTCAGAATTCCTGTATTGTGTGTCTCGAGAACAGTGTGCTGTTCCACAATGAGAGTTCTTTGGTGTGGTGAGATCTCTAAGGGAGAGGACAGGTCAAGGTAAGTATGGCAAATCCCAACCTTTTGCACGTCCCTGTCAACTATTTTTTAACAACGAACGAAAAGGAAAACTACCAAAAATTAAAACATTAGTTAGTTAGGTACAGCTCTACTTACTGTAGCTACAAATCCTCTAGGAAAAGACTAGGATACTATTTTGGATGTGAATGGCCATTACCTAAACAAAGCTTTTAAGGTAACGGTAAACAAGATCCTCTGTTTCCATGTCAATAAACCAACCGCTTCTGCCTCCTGCACTGAACGGTTGAAACACAGTCAAAAGCTATGTTATACTAAATCATAGTGACTAAAACATGTCTACAAACAACTAGGGAAGGAAAACTGCAGGCTTTGCACCTGATACTGAGGGATATGACCCGCCAGCCACTGTAGAAACCAAAAATGATTTCTACTACCCAGGGTGGGGAGAGGAGATGGATAATACATTGCCAAATTTGCTCTGAAATATTTGTCCTCTAATTTTACTAGCTTTATGAAATGTCTAGCCAAAAAGTCAAAGAGAAAAAAAAAAAAAATCAAATATCCATTATCACCTTACAAATGATGATGCCTGAAATGAGATGACATAAAAATGCCAAAAGGCTGGGCTGGGGGCTAGGACAAATCAGGACAATTAATAAAGCAACTCAAAGTGTGTGGAGTCTTGTCTTGGGGAGTAGAGGGCCATGCACCTGACCTCTGATCAGAGAAAGAGAGTAAATTTGCAGTCAATGCAGGTGCACCAAGTGGCCAGGTTTGTTTTGTTTTGTTTTGTTTTGCTCCCTTCTATTCAATGTTAAAGCCAAAAGGGGCTTGGAAGACCACCTCAGTTCCACTTCTTCACTTTAGAGAAGAGGAAAGTGAGGCCTGAGGCAGAGAACAACTTCCCCAAGTTCCTAAGGGGCAGCTGGGACTAGAACCCAATCCCTGGCCTTGTCCCACTACCTCACCACAACAGTGAAGTCCCAAGTAGCCCAGCACTGCATCCCAGTGTCACCTTAGGGCCCTGCTTTGGCAGATGTATAAAAACTGGGGAAATGCAAGATGACATACAGGGAAGGGAGATGAGCACAAAGCCATCAGAGGGGTCTAAATAAAGCACTCCACATCCACATCCCCATTAAATGTATTATTACATACTGATACTCTTTCTTCCCTTCCTCTGCTGACCTCTACCTAGAGACTTCCCCACCCCTCACCACCAGGCTTTAAAACCTCCTAATGCTATAAAATTAGCCACACTTGGAATAAAGAATCTGAGAAAGAAAAAGGAAAAACAAATCACTTTGAAACCCAAGGCCTTATCAGCCTTAGACTTCACGCCATCTGGAGTCACCCACTGGATGCCCAGCTTGGCCCTGGGAGCGGCTCCTTTCCTTCTCAAACCCCATTCCAAATCCAAAGTGCCCCAAGAGGAACCTGTTGCCTGGACCTGGGATTAGCGCCCCCTGGATTCTTCCTGGCCCCTGGCCCCTGGCCCCAGGAGCAGGCTGTGCCTTCTGAAAGCCAGTTCCCACAGCCACAGTTGGTAACTCGTGCTGTGCTGGACTGACAAAGAAAAGTTGCCTTTGCTCAGTGGTGGAGTTTCTGTGCATGGTCTTTGGCCCTGAAAATACGCCCCCTACCCCAGCCAACCCCTCCTCCAAGCCTAGCTTAGCAGCAACTGGAGCTGCTGTGAGACAGGCTCCAAAAAGAAAACCCCCAAACCCAGCGATGGTAGCAAACTTTAGTGCCAACTCGCAAGATCTGCTTAAAAGTACTCTCAGCACAGGAGCAAAAGAAGGCACTGTCCCTTTAAATGGGGCTGTCAATGCCCAGATCGGTCCTGAAAAGGAACGAACAACAACAACAAGGAAAAGCAACCTACCGTCTTGGAATCTAACTCATGGTGGGGCTGACCTAATACTTTATCTACACTTGCTGGGTCTGCGAACGTGACGAAACCGAAGCCTCTGAAATGAGACAAAGAGGGAGAAAAACAAACAAGAAAATGTGACACCATTGAAAGCAACAGGGAGTGAGCCCTACTGCAGAATGGAGAGCAAAAGTTGCCCCCGCGCCCCCCACAGTCCTCCTCCAAACGCCCTCCGGTCTTCCACCTCGCGAGAAAATACATCAAGGTTAATGGGGGAAGTGGAAGGGGGCAGGGCTGGTGGAGGTAACTTGGAAAAAGCTGGTGTCTCCACTCTTTCGCCACCTCAGTTTCCTCTCCTCCTCCTCCCCTTCCCTTTCTTAACGCTTTGTTTTATTCCGATGAAAACCCGGCACTTTAGAAGACATGCATCCAGCTTCCTAAGAGGGGCTTAAGAGTTTGGGGAGCTGGGAATGGGGAGAAGTATACATTTAAAAAAAAAAAAAAACTATGTGGAAAGTGAATGAAGCTGAATGTCATTTTAAACAGGAGAAAAAGAAGCGACGGGGAAATGACTGAAAGCGGAGAGATGAGTATCTCTGTATCCAGACAGAGTTCAAGCCCCAGTTTATAATAACCTCTGAGGTTATGGGGGCGGGGGTGGAAGAGAGCGACGTTCGAAACCAGCCACATGCCTGAGCCCCATTCTAAATCCGCTTAGCTACTTCCGAAGACACCTCCAAAAATAACACTTAAACTTTGTTCTAAAATAAAGGCAAAATCCAGAAGGGAATGGTTTACCTGGAGCGTTTCGTAGTGGGATCTCTCATGACCATACATTCTCTAATTTCTCCAAATTTGCTAAAATAGTCTCTAAGGCTATCTGTAGAGAGAGAAAGAGAGAGATGGGGGGGAGAAGGTGTGGGGGAAAAAAGCAATGCACATTTTGATCAAGGACAAAAACCAAAAGTAGTTTTCTGTTGTTATTCTGCTCTGTTTTTGCATTTTTTGCACACGCGGGGTAAATTCGGCGACAGAGGTCGCGTAGAGGGCTCGGAAAGGATTTGCTATTTAAAAAAATAACCTTGCACAGGAGAAGTGGGGAGCCAATGGCGGGGGGGGCTCCTACACCGGGATAACAAAGAGCAATAAAGAAGCCAAGAAGGGGGGGACCCAGGCGTCCCCCCCTCCCTCCCTTACCTGGTGAGGTCTGCCAGCTCAGTCCACCGATAAACATTTTACTAGAGGGAGAAAACATAACAGAAGTGAGCACCGATGTCAGATCGGCCATTTTGACGTGTAACTTACAAAAGCTAAAAGGAAAGCGGGGGGGAGCGAGCCAGCGAGAGCCGGGAGGTGGGGTGGGGGAGAAGGTGACGGCGAAATGCAATCCAAAGGTGTGTAACTTCCACGGGGGGGGGCGCGCGGGAGGGGCGGGGGGGCGCGGGCGATGCCGGGCTCCGCGCACCGCCGTCCCCGCCGCTGCAAGGAGAGCGAGCCCGAGGCGGCGCGGTGGGCAGCGGCTGGAAACTTACCCGGGGTCGTGCTGGGAGTCGTTGGCGCTGCCCGAGGTGCCTTGGCTCCCATTTGCCTCCATATCTGAGCCCCCCCGCCCCCCCACCCCCAAAAAACCGAGCCCCACAGCGATCGGAGCGGAGCGGCGGCCGACTCCGAGCCCTGAGATCTCCCGCTCCCTCCTCCCCCTCCTCCTCCTCCCCCCCGCCCGGGCTCCTCCGAATCTCTCTGCGAGCGGCGGAGCCGGGGCAGCGGCGAGAGCCGTCACACGTGGGCTCGGCTTAGCTCAGCCCTGCTGCTCGCACACCCCCCCGTCCCCGCCCCCCCGCCCATCCCCACCTCTCCCCCTCCTCCTCCCCACCCCCATCTCCTCCTCCTCCTCCCCCCTCCTCCCGGCGCACGTGGGGCGGAGTTCTATAACGTCGTGTAACCAATGCCGGTGACGTCACGCACCCCGGTGCGGCCCCCGCCTGCCCGCGCGCGCACGGGCGGCCCCCCGCGGCCGGACCCACGGGGGCGGTCCGCGAACCCGGCGGCCCGCGGGGGCCCCGCCTCCGGGCGGGCGGGCGCCGGGCGCGAGGGAGCGCACCCCGACTTCCCTGGATCACATGGGCTGCGAGGAGAGGGTGGATCGTGGGAGAGGGAGGCGCGGGAAGCCAGCGGCCGGTCCTCGGTCCGGCAAGGGAGAAGGCGACCCCCATCCCCGCTACTTCGGCCTCTCCATTCAAGTTCGCCGGCTGCCGCTGGGATCCGGAGATGGCACCAGACGCTCGCCCGGCTCTGCGCCCTTTTTCCAGCCACCGCGCAGAAATGTAGGTCAAGGACGTCGGGATCAAACCCAAACCCTGGCGCTCCTCGGCCGGCCCCCGAGGTCTCCCCGCGTCGGGGGCGCTTCGGGGTTGCCGAGACCCTCCCGCACAAACACCAGCCACAAGTTTTATTTTCCTTTCGCGCTGAAGTTCCCTTTGGCGCCCGCTCCACACCGCACGTCTTGCGCCGCTCCCCACCCTCCCCGGCGGAGGTACGAACCCGAGCCGGGGAAAGGTTATTTTGGAACTTTGAGAAACTGACGCGGTTCCAGCGGGGAGAAACTGCCGGAGAAAGCGTTTCCGCGTTAATCATACGGCGTTTTAAAAAATAATAAAATAGGTTTATAGGGGTCAAGGTCAAGTGATTAGGCTTCAAAGTAAAATTTTGTATATAGTAAAAAATAGTTTTGAAGCTGTCTCTGGGATGGCTGGGAAGGGTGGTTAATTCAGGAAACTCCTCTCCAACTCTTCCATTATACTTTCATTATTTCTGTACCGAGATAATAAAATGCTTGCGATTAAAATACCCCAAGACCCCATTACCACCACCACCACCATCTGGGGAGGTAGCGTCTGACTTACCCTCCACCACCCCGTCACCTGCCACCTGCCACCCGCCACCTTAGGAGCTGTGTGGTGCAGCTGCAGGTTCTGGCACACAGTAGGTGCTTAATAAATATCGGCTTCATAACTCCAAAGAGACTATATTTGTAGCTTCCCCAGAGGCATCTCACACTTCTTCAGGAGATTCCAGGCTGGCCAAATTCAGTCTGGATTCAATTTATGGGGTATTTAAACAATTGTCCTTATTGTTTTAAATTATTACAATACATGGAGTTACTACAGCTGAGGGACAACAAAGTTGTGGTTCATCCAATACTCAGATTAGTGTTAAGCATGAACTGATGCCCGATGAACACTTTTCTGTTAAATTGTGGTAGGATTAGGGCACCATGGAGTACACTCAACGCCCAAACTGTACCAAATCCACTGTGGGTCTTGCAAAAGTGAAAGATTTGGAAAATCTCAACACCAGCCAAAGCTTTGGGTGACTAGACTTAATTTCCCTGTCTCCTAAATTGGGATAATTCCTCCCTGTCAGGATTGATGGGGTGAAAGGATGGGTTGAAGTGAGCAAATATAAAAGTCCCTTTTTCACTGTAAACCTAGAAGGGTCATGCTTATTATCAATCATTACTTAATATGACTTTTAGAAGGTGCTTAATGCTTTACACCACAAGCCCACGAATTTTCTATAACTTCGAGCTGCTTCCCAAATCATCTGAGGTCTCATAGGTTGAAGAGCCCGTTGTTTTTACAGTAATTTTTTATTATGAATATTCTCAATAACGAAACGCAGACAACACAACTAATTGGATTATGTTTGGGGTGTTTGTGCTTGGACCACAGACCAGCTGAGGTAGAAAGGCCTTTCCTGATCCAAAGCCCTCATTTTACATCAGGTTCCCAGAGGAGCCAAGCTCACCAGGCTGTACCCTGCCCCCACCAATCAGTGCCTAAAAGGGGTTCTGGCCACCAGTGCAATGCCCTTTGGCTCTGCTGCCTGCATATTTATTCTGTCCTTCACAAGGCAAGAGGAGGGTGTCCTTGTTCCCTGTTGTGGACTTACACAAGCTGACAATGAACTGAATTAAAACCATGAGAGGGGCTAGCACTGCAGTTACAAAGTCAGTGAGCGAAAGCTAGATCTTAAATCTCCATTACTGCATTATTTTTACTTATCTTTAATTTATATGCAGTAATATTTACTCTTCCTGGTCTATAATTCTGTGAGTTTTAACAGATGCCTGGAGTCGGGTAACCACCACCATAATCAAGATACAGAAGAGTTCCATTGTCCCCAAAATTCCCTCCTGCTGTCCCTTTCACTGCATTCATTATAATGGCTTATCATTATCATTATTATTATGCATTTCTTCTCCAAGTCATTCATTGTAGCCCCTGGGTCAGGAGAATTCCAGAAGCACAGGGTCAGCCCTCTACACTCTTAAAATCACGACAGCCCGTTAGACACTCCCTTGTTGTAACTCACTCTTCCCTTGGTGTCCACAATGCCCACATTCTTCTGGTTTTCCTCCTCTCTCTCCAGCCATTCCTCCTCTGCCTTTCCTTTAAAGATTGGTGTTCATTTTCAACCCCCAGCTTCATACTCTGGGTGAGCTCCTCGGAGGGATGGGCTTAAACACCACTTACATGCTGATGCCACTCAAAATCTTCAGCCTGACCTCCCCCACTAAACTCCACCCACTGGTTAATTTCCTATTCAACATCTGCGCTTAGCCTTCCCTAAAGGTCCCCACACTCAACAAATCCAAATCTTGCTTTCCCCCCCTAAATCCAAAACTCCTTTAAGGTTCCCCCTATCATCCTAAAGACAAGGTTGACCCCTCTCCAGGTTGACCCCTTCCCATGTGCAATTCATCATGAAGGTCTGTAGTATGTGGTATTTAGGTTTTCCTAAATATCCCTCAAATTCATCTTTCCTGCTACTGTACCCCAGATCTCCCACTTGAACCCCTGCAATAGTTTCCTAAACATTCTTCCCACACCCGTTCTTATTCCATTAATGTGTCTAGAAAGCTTTCCCTAACCTCTCTGACCCAGGTCAAATACCCCTTTATATGCACTGCCATTATCCTGCCAGAATGTCCTCTGTGTACCTTACCCTGTGTGATCATTTGCTTTATTGTTCATCTCCTTCCCCAAGCCCTAAGCTCCCATCCATTTTTGCTCTCCATGTATTAGCACAGTGCCTGTTGGCGCATGGTTGGACACTTAATAAATATTTGTTGAATGACTGAATGGAAGAATGAATGAATGAAGGTCAACATCTAATTTCATTGTAGGATTTTTTTTTTTTTTTTTGTATCCATGTCCATGAGTCAAATTGGCTGTAATTTTCCCTTCTCGTATTGCCTTTGTCTGGTTATACTGGGCTCATAAAATGAACTGGTAAATGTTCTTTCTTTTTCCATTTTCTGGAACAGTGTGTATAAAATTGGAATTATGTGTTCCTTGAATGTTTGATAGAACTTGCCGGTAAAATGTCTGTGTCTGGGATAAACATTTCCTAGGTTGACTTTTAACTACTGATTCCATTTCTTTAATGACTATGGATCTCTTTGGGTTTTACATTCTTCTTGAGTCAATTTTTACACATTAGATTTTTCAAGGAAATTATCCATACCATTTCAGTTTTCACATTTATTAACAAAATGCTGTTCATTGTTTTCTCAATCTATTTTCTCTGCTTCATCTCTCCACAATGTCCATTTTTCATTTCAAATATTATTGACTATGTATCTTTCCTTTCCTGGATCGGTTGTGCCAGAAATCTCCCTTTTTTTAACAAGTGTTTTTTTCTACTTTCTACTAGTGTTTTCAAAGAATCAACTTTTAGTTTGGCTAACACTGTTTTCTGTTTCATTCATTTTTTTCTTTTTTATATTATAACTATATCATATATAAGAATATATACCATGTATAAGATATATATGTATTATTAATATATATCATGTATTATTTTCTCCCTTCTGCTCTCTTTTGATTTATTCTGTTGCCTTTCAAAAAGTTTCTTGAATTGGTGGCTTAACTAATTAATTTCCAGCCTTCTCTTTTTCTATTTTGACACTTAAGGCTACAGATTTTACTCTGGGTACCACTCAAACTATATTCCACAAGATATATAGAATTTGTATTATCATCACAGGCAAAGAATGTTTATATATCAAATATGATTTCTTCTTTGGTTTAATACCTGTGTTTACATTTCTAAACATTAGTTTTTTGTTTTGAGTTTTTTCGTTATGTCTAACTTAACTGAATTCAGGCCAGAGAAGGTGGTCTGTAGGAATCAGATTCTTTGTTGTCTGTTGAGACTTGCTTTGGCAAATGGTCAGTTTTTCATAAATATTCCATGTAGTTTTGAAAAGAATATGTATGCCTTAATTAAGTGTAGCATCCTGTGTGGGTCTGTTAAATCAAGCTTGTTAATTATGTAATCCAGATTCTCCATGGCCTTACTGATATTTTGTTTGCTTAATCTATCGCTTTTTATAGTGGTATATAAAAACCTCCTCACATGACTAAATTTGCACATTTCTCCTCTAAATCTCTCAAATTTTCCTGGAGAGGAAATTATTTTAAATGGATAAGGTACATCAAAAAGGGCTGTTAAAATCTATGACTGTGCATTTTTCTCAGTTTTACATTTTATTTCTCTTTTTGCTTTATGTATTTTGAGGCTATGTTATTAGGTATATACAAGCTTTACTGTTTTCTGAGTGAACTGTTTCTTTCATATATATACAGATGATATTTATTTATTTATTTATTTTTAATCCTCACTCGAGGACATTTTTCGATATTTTGTTCAGATAGAGTGGGAGGGAGAGAGAGAGAGAGAAACACGACCCAACCAGGGCCGGGGACAAACTGCAACTGAGGCACGCGCCCTTAGCGGGGACCAAACCCAG